TGCTTAGCGATGACATTGAACCACATTTTGTTGATGAATGTCAATGTAGAATAGATTGATCAAACTGGAAACAAGCAATATAGGTAGAACTTGATTCACTCGCAAAACGTAAGATGTTTGGGCCTGTAACTCATACTCTACTACATGTGAAACCTATGGGCTACAAGTGGATTTTCGTGAGGAAGCGTAATGAGAAGAATGAAATAGTGCGATTCAAAGCATGCCTCATAGCACAAGGCTTCTCTCAACGCTTTGGGATTGATTACAAGGATACATATTCCCTCGTAATAGACGTCATAACGTTCCATTACTTTATCAGTTTGGTAGTTTCTGAAAAAATTAAATATGCATCTTATGGACATGGTAAACATGTATCTCTATGGAGATCTAGATATGGAAATGTACATGAAAGTTCCAGAATGACGTCCATTGACTGGTTTAAATAGTTCTAGACCACGGAACGCTCTCTTGATTAGATTGAAGAGATCGCTCTATAGTTGAAACAAATATGGGCGGATGTGGTACAATCGTCTGAGTGAATATTTGACAAGTTAGGGTTATGTGAACAACAAACTATGCCCATACGTGTTCATTAAGAAATCACATTTCAGATTTGCAATGATTACAGTTTATGTCGACGACATGAACCTCATCGAAACTTCTGTAGAGCTTGATTAAATTGCCGTTCACTTAAAATCAGAATTTAAGATGAAAGATCTTAGGAAAACTTGATATTAAGGGTGGGCATGGTGCGGTTTCGAGTGAAACCGCAACCAAAACCGTAACATTTTACGGTGTGGTTTTGAAATCAAAATCGAAATGAAACCAAACCATTTGGTTCGGTTCGATGCGGTTTCATACGATTTTGGTTCGGTTTTTAAGATTTTTTTTTTCTCCTTGGATTTCTGGTTCTTCTGATTTTGGTTCAAGAAGGAAGGGAAAATGTTAAGTGCGTTTTTTGGGGGGTTTTGAAGAAACGAAGAATTGAGAAGTTTAATTATAAACATAGCTGGTAAGACTTGTATACTACAGGGGTCACCAACCAAACTGACGACTACCAATGCCAAGTCAGCATCTCAGAATCTGTACTGAAATAAGCAGAAGGTAAGGAACCGATAGAACTATGAAAGAGATGAAAGGCAACTAGGGTTGGAGGAAACCCTTTTAGGATTCAAAAGCCATCATTAGGTTTATGATAAATCTAATCACGGTACCAACCATATTCAAAAACTGGTAGTTAAAGAGGGGCTTGCTTTTACAAGTTTATGCTGGTTGTTTAGGATGAGCACAAGAATCAGCCATGAGAAGAAAGAGGAAAAGGACGACATTCTGTCGAATAGAGGTGGAAAATGGAAAGGGATGTCATTCTAGTGTAGTTGAGTCTATACAATAAATGTATGGACTCTAGTAAGGAATCAATTAAAATATGACATTTAATATATGGTGTGGTTTTGGTTTCAGTTCTGTTTTGAAAACCCAAAATCGAAACCAAACCATTATCCTAACCGTGGTTTGGTTTCGAAATCGCAACCATTTCAAAACCATAAAACCGAACTGTTTGGTTTGGTTTGATTCCATTCATGTTTTGGTTTCGATTTTCAGTTTCAAGTGCCCACCCCTACTTGATATTGTCTTGGCCTGGAGATCGAGTATTGTTCGGATGGAATTCTAGTACATCAATCGAACTACACTCAGAAGGTGTTGCGATGTTTTAATTAAGATGAAACGAAGCCTTCGAGTACTCCTATGGTCGTTCAGACTCTAGATGCCCAACGAGATCCCTTTCATCCCAAGGAGGATAAGGAAGAGATTTTGGAGCCTGAAGTTCCATACCTAAGTGCAATTGGTGCTTTATTGTACTTGGCTCAATGCACTACACCCGACATCTTCTTCGCTGTTAATCTTTTGGCTAGATATAGCAATGCGCCTACACACAGACACTGGAATGGTCTTAAAGACATTTTCTGCTACCTCAAGGGTACGACGGATTTGGACTTATTCTACACCCATGAATCCTTAAGAAGGGCCGCTGCCCTCTCAATCCTCGGGTTGATTCCCGCCTCGTTGGTTACGTATATACTAGTTTTATGTCTGACCTGCATATGACACGTTTTCAAATGGGTTATGTATTTACCGTTGGAGACGCCACTATATCTTGGATGTTTACCAAGCAAACATTAGTTGTGACATCTTCAAACCATGTTGAGATTCTCTCCCTAATGAAGCATCGCGTCAGTGCTTTTGGTTGAGAGCATTCATGGAACATATTCGAAGCACTATTGGTCTTTTTTCCATCGTTGACTTTCCTACAACGATCTTTGAAGACAACATAACATGTAACGAGCAGTTAAAGAATGGATACATCAAGGGAGACAACACCTAGCACATAGCGCCGAAGTTCTTTTATTCTCACCAGTAACAACAACATCAAAACATTAAAGTCAAGCAAATCTGTTCCCAAGACAACTTGGCTAATCTATTTACTAAGTCATTGCCCAAGTCTACTTTTCAGAAGCTCGTCTAATGAATCGGTATGCGTAAATTATCTTAGTTGAATTGCTTGTAGTTCTCTTATTTGGAAGTTATGTCTAACTCAAGGGAAGTATCCTGAAGCATACTCACTTGATCTTAATGTACTTTTTTTCCTACGATTAGGAGCATTTTTTCCATTGAGTTTTTGCTACCTAATGAGGTTTTGATGAGGCATCCATCTTGGGATGATCATACTACGTTGATTTCATTACTTTCATCATGTTTAACGTTTGTTTTAGACATTATGCATACTTCTCACTTTTTTCCTTAGTCTATGGGTTTTCACCTACTTTGGGTTTTACCATAGCAAGGTTTTGTGAGTTTTACTACCCATGCATACTTTCTTTTAAATTTGAGACTCGCATTCACCAATTGTGCTGACAACTTTATCAATTGTTCTACCTTATCTGCTGAAGATCTAATGCGATGTTTTGTTTAAGTACAAAGGGGAGTGTTGCAGTCATATTGGATTAGGAATGTGATTGTGTAAATCCTAGTGTATCTAGGAGTATCTTGTATGTTCCCTTTAGTAGTTTAATTCCCATTAGAGTTGTAATCCTAATAGGGTAATGGTTTAACCTTCCCTACTACTATATATAAAGGCGCAATATGGTAATACAACACACGCCTCATAATTATATCTCACACTTCTCTCTTTGTTGCCGCCGGCCCCTCTCCCTCTCCATCATTTATACAGTTCAATCAAATAGGCCTACAACAATATGAATATTATTAGACAATTTTTTGCTTTTACAACAATTTGAGAATGGTCTAGACTTCATATCAATTTGGTTCGACTTGTTCTTAGAGTTAAAATAAAATTTAATATATAACCTAGTGTATGTCAATGTAATTTTTATTTTTTTTTAAAGAAAGGGAGAAAGGGTAAATATATTACAAACAAAGAAACATTACACAAGAAGGGCCTAAATACACACTTTGAACAAAAGAAAGCTTTGGAACCTAGCACAAACACACCACACAACAGAAGAAACCCTAAACCACACCAGTTACTGTAGCAGTTCCTCTTGGTGCCGAAACTCCACACAACGAGTCGAAGCCATCTCCACCACAAGGACCTGCCATCACACCATCTCGAGTCCCAGAGTTGAGGAAGGACAAGGCCACTCCATCCTCCGTGAACCACCAAAACGATGGCCGCCATAGAACAAAGGAAGCCCGCGGGAAAAGATCCCACGAACGACATCACCAACAAGGGAGAACAGTGGGAAGAACCTACAAGGGCCAACAAAGGTGGTAGTGCGAACACCCGAGCCAAAGCTCTACACACCTTCCCATAGAAAAGCGACAAATTACGGTTAAAGCTGGCAGAATCGAAATTAGGATTGGTGGAAAGAAAATGGAGCCAAGTGATGAAGATGATACAGGGGAAATGACCAAATGAGATAGAGGAAATGGGTGAACAAGATTTGAGACTCAGGATGATGAAAACAGAGGCAAAAAAAGTACATGGAAGATGAGATCGTCAGAAGATCTGGATGGAAACGGGGCTGGAATTATTGCAAAAAAACAATAGGAGAAAGAAAAAGAAAATGACAAAGGGAAGTCAAGGGACTGCCATCGGCCTTACCATGGCAAGAGCCGACGGCGACATAGAAAAACGAAAACAAAGTCACTCACTTTACCGGTGAGAAAGGCTCTCACGGAGGGAGAGAAAAGCTTCCCAATGTATTTTTGGTAATGTTTCGTTAAACTATTATGAGTAAGCTAAAAAAATACAAATGTGTAGAAACAAAATTTGCACTTTTTATTTTGGGAATTGTTATTGGTACTCCAAAAATCTCATTTTGCACTCCAAACTTTCTATAATTAGGAAGAAAAATACACTTGTGATGAGTGTAAAATGAGATTTTAGGAGTGCTAACACTTTCCTTTATTTTTCATGTAAAAACAATGTGTCGAGAAGGGCTCATTAGAGCTTTGGACCACCAAAAACTCAAGAAAAGCGTTTATAGCTTAAACGATTAAAGAAAAGCTAAGTACCAAAATCTAAAATTAAGCTTTTACGTGACAACTAGCTCTTAGTCTAATTATTCTTCTCTTCTTAAAATTAAATCTCGAATTCTGAGTTCTCCTTTGCCTCATTCATTGCTTCATTTGGTCTACTACATTAGTAGCCATAACATTGAAATAGGATAAAACATTTACCACGGTTCAAAATAACGCCATGACTTTAATGCTACATAACATTTAGTGTTACATGTGTATACATAACATTTAGTGTCACATGTGTTTTAATTGATTTCCACAGCTGTTTATAATGATTCTTTTCAACCTTTTTATGCCGCTCAATGCCACTTACCGTTAACGAAGATTGTGAAAAAGTAAAACGAAAAAAACAAAACAAAACACTCCATTCAACATCCAAATGTTGGAAATAAACCACATTCACAAGAATATTTTCTTTTGATACAACATTCTCAATGACCTAATAATAAAAGCAACAATAACAACGATACAAGTTTTGGTGTTTCACATTTAAAAGTAGGTCATTGATAAGACCTTCTAATTAATCATACAACTTTTCTTTTGAAAAATAAATGTTACTACTACTCCATCAAGGATGGAACTCAAAGATTCTATTTACATAACCTACTACTCCATCAAGGATGGAACTCAAAGATTCTATTTACATAACCATGGCATCACATTAGTGTCTGGTTATGTTTATATATCAGTTGAGTATCCAGCAGCCATGTAGCAGCAGCTCCTGTAAAGTGAATGCGGAACAAAGCAAATCCGCTTTTGATCGAAAACCATAGAACTTGGTTGTAACTGAAATAGTGTTACCGTGGACTACTTGATTTATCGCTTAATGGAGATGCTTCCGGGAAATTGAAAGAACCCTTCAATTCGTTGCACATTCCATGCCTGCTTCGAACAGTATGAGCAGAAAGCAATACAATGCGCTAGCTGCAGCTTCACTGTCCTGCAAACACAAAATCAAATTAACTACTTCAGTGAACATATCAAATAGGTTCTCGGAGTGAAGTGATAAACATATGGGCCAGAAAGTATTCACTTCATGTTTTCAGCTTGATTTCCTCACCTTGTTTCGTGACACTGCTCTGCATTCGGATTCTTCTTGGAGCATCTCCATGTGGGCAGACAGGGATGGATGTTGGTGGATATTGCGGTTGTGTGTTGTTTGACTTGTAGGATAGAGAGCTACTCGTCTGAGGAATATCTGTAGTGGTGTTGAAAGAGGAAGTACCATCTTCGAATAACGCTTGTGAGAAAAGACATTACTACATTGTCTGGACTCATCATGTTCGGAGAAGGGTAGAATTCCGGTTGAAGAGCTACTCATCTGAGGAATATCTGTAGTGGTGTTGAAAGAGGAAGTACCATCTTCGAATAACGCTTGTGAGAAAAGACATTCCTACATTGTCTGGACTCATCGTGTTCCGAGAAGGGTAGAATTCCGGATAGCATTTCAACCATTTGCATTTCCTGGTGTTCCTTTGTACCAACAAAAGTTCACCTAACAAGGATGAAGTATACAAGACTTGGGGATTCTGTGACACACAACAATGATTTGGGACATATTTGTCCAAAATCAATACTGTGTCAAAGACTACATAACTTATGTTGCGGTTCCTGGACATAAATGTCCACACCTACGAATAAGTTCCCAGAAAATCTGGTTGCAGAAATGTTGATAACTGCGAATGTTTTTGAATTATTTGTAGGAGAATATAACGGTGTAACAATGTGAGTTGGAGGCACATTCTCACAAGGCACTCTTGATATTCTCCTACAGATAAGAAAATCGTTGTTCATTAACAATATTGGAGTGTTTCTCCAATAGCTAATGCAGAATAATCTTTTGCACGTCAGTGGAGTAACTCAGCGTTAGTATCACTGGGTTACTCCACTATGCCCATCATACACCCATCTCAATGACTCTTGTAGGTTGGAGCGTTGAAAAGAGTGTACGATGCCTCTGTTATTCAAGAACTTTGTGGGAAAAGAGTCGCAACCTCCATATCTAGAAATTGCGACTCGTTGCATCCAATATAGTTATTGGCATGCAGAAGCTCTCCCACTTCTGAGAACAACATTGGCGACTGCCATGTGTAATTTTGAGGCTGATCAAACGGTTGAAAGGGTAAACTCAGATTTTCTTCTGCCTGAGAATAAACCTGGATGAAGAATCATGACAAGCAAGTGTTAAGTTCTGATGTACTTCTGGTGCACCATATTAAAAAGTTCATAAATACAAAAAAAAATTCGTTCTCACCTCGGAAATCCTTTCATCTGTCGCTCGATTATAAGAATTAAAAGCGACGTTGATAACTGGTTCGTTTTCGCAATTGGTTGCAATATTATTCTTATTAGTAACATAAGAAGTATTAACCCCAATTGGAGATGGCCAGTTACTGAATTTGCCACTATGGACGCCCGGAACATTTTCCAGCTGGTGTGGTTGAGACAGCTCAGGAGGAGATAAGGGCAAATCCAAAAGTTTGTCTAGCTGATCAAACTGCCATATTAAGATTCACAAGACAAAGCGAGGTGTTAAATTTTGATATACTTCTAGTAATTCGTTTTACCAAGTTCACATAAAAAATATTTAAAAAGCGTCTTCATCTTTACCTCCTGCATATCATCTACTGCATGGTCATTAAAATCAGATGAAATACCGCTACAAGGTTCACCATCATCATGATTGCCACTGCCAAGCACAGCACTTCCTTCTAGCTGTTTGGATGCAAGAATTTCTTCTGTGTCGGGAATAATATGATTCGTTGCAGCAGCTTGGTTATCAGAACTATAGGTGATGCAGCCACCAGTACCAGGATCAAGCAATTCATGACTACAGATATCAAGAGAATGTCCAAGCTGTGGTTGTTCATGAAGAGGAAGGAATGAATTCAGACATTCTACTGCCGGAGCACATGACTGCCACTGCAAGAGTGAGAATCACAAACAAGCGAGTGTTAGTTTTGATACATTTCTCGTGCTCCATATTAACAAGGGAAAAAAAAATGTTCGAAGAGCATTTTTTTTTCCTTGTTAATAAAACAGAGGACTAGGCGAGATTAGCTCATGTCCGTCAAAGTCACAAAGTGCGACTCTCAGTCACGAAGGTGAGAGGAACAACACATCCAAAAACGTCCCTCTGATCCTCTGTGATTATTAAAAGACAAAACAATACAGATAAATACATACAAGGGGGGACATGAAACCAAACCTCTTGAATCATGTCGCATAGAGATTTATTAATAAAATCAGATGAGCTGCTGCCGCCACCAGGTTCACCATCATCTTGATTCATTGCAGCAGCAGTAGCAGCTTCATCATCTCCGGGACTAGATGCAATGTAGCCTCGATTACCAGTACTATCAGCAAAATCACCACGGATCGAAGTACCCGTATTAGACTTAGAATCAACTGGCTTATACTTCAGGACGCAGAGAACAAGGTCCCTTTGCTGATCCCTCTCCTGATGAGGACTAGAACCCCGTTTAGGTTTAATGCAAATGTACTCGTGCATTTTCCAGCCGGTCGGAACGGATTTAGACTTACTACCTTCCTGGAAGGTCTTTATTTGGAAGGTTAATGTCCTCTTTTTGCAAGTGAAATATTTCGAGCCCACATCCCGTTGCTTGCTGTTCATCTTCCAAGAGCCTTTCTTTGTTTCCCTATTGAAGCGACGACTATTGATGGATTTGTAACCACACGGGCTGAAGGAGTACCACGCCTTAGCATGATGAGGAGAATCAGGGAACATGTGCTCTGCAAAACAGAGTAAGATATCAAAAATTTGTAACCAATTCACTTCAAGGCCTTGTTTGGTGAAGAAAGATTAAATTATATTGGATGATTCAATAGACTCATGTCTCGTTCGGTGCCTAGGATTGGATCGAGTTGGACAGCTCACAATATTTAAGCTATGTTGATGGAAGAAATGAAGAAATTTTGTCCAATTTGAAGGTAGAAGATGAATTACTCGTAATGAAACTTAATGCTTCGAAGGGATAAGTTTTCTTCATGTCTAATCCATCTAATCCCCTAAAAAGAAAAATCGCTCATCTCTTGCTTCACGAATACCTTGAATTATAAGAGATATCCAACACTATCCAATCCTTGGGACCGAACGAGTAAAAGTGAGATAGAATAATGGGTTACCAGGCAATTCCCAAGGCTCGAACTTGCGGACATCGATGAAAGGGAGGAAGAGGCAGGCTTGAGAGTTGTGACTTTTCATCTTCTTGCTCAAGAAGTCGACCTTTTCATCTTCAGTGGGATGGAACCTGATCGCAGCCACCATGTCCGGCACCGATTGTGCGGTGGTTGTGGTGGTGTTGGTGCTGCTGCTGCTGCTGATGTTTCTCATCCCTCCTCCTCTCCTTCAAATGTTTTGGAAACGGATTATCAGATGTTTTTTTGCCTTCAGAGAACAGAGCGGAATAAGCAGAGCAAGTGAAGTATGTCTTTAAAAACAAAGTGACCCAATTCAGTGCCACTGTGCTCTTTCGGCTTGCAAGACTTCCTAGTCTTCAGATGAAGCTGCCAAACCAAGTTTAATTTCTTGATGGTGTGGAAATGGCATCGAGTGTGGATCCCACCCAGATTCCTATCATGTCTTTTAGTAATTTGTATTTGTGTGTTTCTGTTCTTTCGAGGAATCTCACCCCACTCCTCATCCATCACTCAAAGAAATAGTCTTTTGAAAGTGAATAGTGTTTATTCCAAGTCTTTGAGCTTATGGTGCAAGTTCCATCTTTTGCTTCCTACACTTTTAGGGTTTCTTTCATTTTGGTCTTTCAACCTTTTCTCATAGGATAAATTTTCAAGAGTGGTGCTATCTATCCCCACTCATTTTTATTTCTCACATACGTTTTTTAATTTTCGGCCGTCGGATCAAATGAGTTGAAGAAAATCAATAGCAAAAAATTAACAAGAGTGTGTGGAAGGTAAAAATTGGTGTATGACTAACACTTTACTATTTTCGTCTTGATCTAAATTCCAATATGACAGATTTTAAATTGCGGGTGATGAGGAGAGAGTTCATTGCTATAACTAACTTGGCTAGTTTCAAATCTACACAGTTATGACTACAAACAATATTACTATCCCAAATGAATGTATTATGAACGATATTACTACCTTAAACCTTGAGTAAACTAAATAATCTGATCTTAATTTTTTTTATATATGTGCGTAAATACGAAAATTCCATTAATGAATAGCAAAAGAACTTGTGTATAAAATAATATTTTTATTAAATGAATGTTTAGGGTACAATCTCTGTGGTTTATTTTTTTACAAGAATATTCCTCTTATTCAACCTCTAGTGTTGAGATTAGATCCAAGAGTGGCAACCACTTGATCTTGAACGAAACGGGACCACAAGCGGTTTCACGTGGTGGGTGTCGTCAGCTTCAACGTGGATGAACTGGCACGTATATTTGTTATGCTTGTTGATTCTTCACAAGCTTGATGAAGAATACAAGTGTTTGGGTTCTTGGTGTTTGTTTTGACCATAGAGCTTTCTGGATTTCTCCAAAGATTTGGACTTGCTTTATTTCTCTGGAGTCTTTTTTTCTTGAAAATAAGGCTGGTATTTATAGCAAGCGATTGAGTTTTAGTTTAGAATTGCCAATTTGAATCCCGTAATTTGCGGGATTAATTTTGTCATTTGTTCCCATTTGAGCTAATTATTTAATTTAGCTCTTTAGTTAAATCAATCTTTAATTTTGAAAATTAAACCCTAAATGATTTAACTTGATCATACTAGAGTTAATTTGTTCCCTTTTTGTATTTGATTTTATTTAATTTAGACTAATGGATTTAATTTATTCGTTATTCAAATCAGAATCAATAGGTTTAAGGAATTAAACCATAATTGAGGGATTTGATTGATTAGGGTTAATTTGTTTTTTTTTTTTTTTACTTGATTTGATTTGTTTGACAGAGGTCTCAGATATCGACATGTGTCACTCTTCATGACTCATCCAATTTTGATGAGTCACATGTAAATATGCAATGTGTGCAATTTGGCGAAACCCATGAAATGCGCCACATAAACCCTAGCAAGTCAAAATTTAATTTGTGGGTGGACATTTTTTTCATCAAAATTTTGAGGCCTACAACGTATTTCAATTAGTGTTCTTTTTGTTAATTACATTTGTGTTGTGCTCGTCCGAAAAGTCTTCTTGTTTACATAGGCGACACTAAGATTTGTTACAAAACCGTATTTATTGAACAACACACGAGTAAATTCCATCAAATTTTGTTAGGGATTTGTTGTCCTCATTCTACCATGCACTTTTAGAAGTTTAGGGGCCAATTTAGTACTCAAAAAACGTCTAAAGACCCAAATATAACATCTACTAAAATTCAAGGTGCAAATATATATAATATAATTCTTGAGCTTCCAATGCAAGTTTTACCCGAGTTACAAAGCAAGCTGCGACATATGACATATCACTATCAGTGGATCCCATCGTCCTTTAACGCGCTAATTTCTTTTAGTTACTTTAAGCTCCTTCAAACAAGGAGCATTTGGTGTTGCCTAGATCATCATAGAGACTCGGGTTGTCTCGGCTCGGGACCTCCGGAGTTCATGAGAAACGCCTGTGAGGATATTCGGGGACTCTCCGATTGTCTGGACAGGTTATGATAGTGGTGGGTTTTATTGGGTGCAGGCGGTTTGTTCAAAAGTTCTTTTCCAGAACAATTTTGAACCCAGTTGAAATTTTGGTAGGAAAAGTGTAGCAACGTCGTCGTTTCTTGATTTTACTAAATGTTAAATGAAACCAGCATTTTTGGACGTTAGGGTTTTTCAAATCATGTGTAATCATTTACTCTTTCAAATTTAAAAGGATTAATCTCACTAAGTGGACCTTTTTACTCTTTCTTTAAATAACCTAAACCTAATAAATAAAAAGGAAAATTAATGAAAATGACTTGAAAATTTTGAATTTTAACTATTAAGGACAAAATAAAAGATAAAATGAATAGTATCATAATTGATTTTTTAGTGTAAAAATATGGTTTTTACGTATTGATAGAGGTGCAGAGCTTGCACGAGCTTTTGTTAAGTAATTTTTTTTTTTGTCCTTGGCATTAAATGAAGTTAGTTGGTGGTTTTTTTATTAAAACTCAAAGTTTTGAAACCTTTTTTATTAGTTTTTTTTTTTTAAGTATCCACGTGGAGCCAGAGTGACACATTGGATGCTCAGTAATCGTTTACATGGGAGCCATGTCACACTTTAACGTAATAATGGTCAACCTAACAAAATATGAATCTGGGATAAAAACGTAACTTTATGTATGAGACTTGGATGAAAAAATTTGATGCATGAAAATTTAAAAATCACGATACTTTAGGTAGAAAGTTAGAATTACCTTAAAAACAAATTCACCCAATTAAATCAGCGCCACTGTGCTCTTTGACTTCCCAAAGACTCCTCAGTCTTGAGATGATAGATTTCGAACAAGGATCCTCTTCGGATTCTTTTTGTGGAGATCCAGAGGATCAACCAATTTTATCTGTTCATCGTATATTGTACGGTTAGCTTTCGTTATTTATTATTTATATTCAATTTTAAATTTTAAATCTTAAATTTAAAATGATTTCTAACCACACGATGCATGATGAACGAACACGATTGATTGATCATTCGTATCCCCACAAAGAGAATATGGAGAGGATCCTTGTCCATAGATTTCAAGCAAACGAAGGCAATGGCGAGCACCTTTAAATTATATGATCTTTTCTTGAATTTGGACGGCAAACACACATGCTAAAAGAATATCTATTTTTATTCACACACCTTAAATTATTTCTTCCGTACTTTTTTAATTTTTTAATATTTTTCTATCAAGTATTAGTGGTGTCAAAAAATATTAAAAAAATAAAAAGGTGTGCGAGAAGTAATTTGGAGTGTGTGAATATATTTTTTTATTTTTTACTTATTCTTTTCTGCATGATTATTTTCTTTCCTTTTTTATCGAAAGAAATTTTATCGCCAAACAATAGGAAAAATTTTGAGTAGAGATCTTCACAATGTGGTATATAACATCTGTAACAAAAAGAATAGAATCTATAACATTAATTTTATTTTGAATTATTAAAAAAATTATAAATTAATGCAACTATGCAAAAAGAGAAAATGAACGTGCAGAAGTTATTTACAAAATAAGTGTGAAGATCGATAGTTAAAAAAAGAAAAAAAAGAAAAAACTATCTAACCCAATCTCTAAATTCCTTATTTATATGCTCCTCTTCCCTTTGCTTTACCATACACCATGCATATGAAGCAAAGCAAGAGACATCCTAGCTAGAATCTAAGATGTGAATCAAAGACATGTTTTATCTCCAATTAAGAGAATATAATTTACCTTAAAATACTTTGGTTCAATTTTTCTATGGAAATATTTCAGATAGAAGTTACAATAGCAAAGGAAGGAACATAGATCAATCACCTTACTGTGTGTACATCATTGGCTTCTAATTCAAGTGGCCTATTTTCTAAATCTTAAAATTCTTACAAGTTTTGAAGTTTTATTACTAAACTCTTAATAGTTCCCTTTGATTTCTAAGAGACCATATGGTTTTAGAAACTTAGTACTGGGTCTAGTGGTATTCATCTTCATTTGTAAATGAGAGATTTGAGGTTCGGATTTCGTGGATGCCGAGTTCACAATCTATTAGTCCCCCATCTTTAGTGCAAATATATCGTTGTATAAAAAAAAACCATATAAAGTTGAAGTTAAAGCTAGCCAAACTAAGAAGCGAATCCGAATTTGAAAGAACAAAAGTAAGGTGGACAAGTAAATATGATGAAGGCTCAAAGTCGTAGAACCAAATGAAAATAGGTGAAAATGAGGAGATCAAACAAATAGCCTGAAATTACTCGACCAAGGGCAACAAAATAACTCCACGATGCTAATCGTAAGTGTCACTCAACAACGTTGGAGAAATTGCAGAGAATATGCTTCTCTTTTGCTATGGGAAAAACTTCCCTCCTTGAAACAATTGATGGGATTCCAAAAGTTCCTAATAAGCTTTGCAACAAAATGTTGTCATCTCACCTAAATATACCACTAGCTAAAACTGTTCTTCCCAAGACTACACTACTAGTCTACTAGAAATCATCCTAGCTGATAGAAAACTTAAAACTCAATTAACAAACAACTAAACACATTAACTCAAAATAATTATTCAGTAGCAACTAGCTATTCCAATTATATCCAAATGCCCCAAATGAGCACATCTCTTTCCAATAGTGATAGAGATCATAAGTTCGATTAAGAGTGATAGAGATCATAAGTTCAATTCGAGTGTTCACTTATTTACAAAAAGAAAAAAAAAGGGTTGTAAATGTGCATTCAGTTGATGTGGACTTGTGCTACTTTCCTGATTGCAGCTGGATATCCTTTTGATACTTTTCTCCTTATTTGGGTGTAGCATAACATACACAGTTACGTTACAAAATCACAAAGTTTTTTAGCATTATTTTGGTTTCAAGTTTTAACTCGATTCGCTAACTCCGCCTATGTAAGTTTATCTTACATTGCCGGT